GTTTTGCTCAAGGTAAGCTCACTGAAGGTTAAAAAACTACAGACCCGTCCAGAGTGAGCCTTCAGCAAATTCCTCTGCACTATAGCCAAAGTCTCAAATTGTGTCTGGCCCTCTGGTTCCCAACAGGCACAGTGCTGTTCTGGGGGGAAACTCTGCTGCTGGGTGGGCAAACCAGCCTGCCCTAGGACAGCAGGCACCCATGGAGGCCCCTGAGCACCAGGACCCAGGATGGAACAGTCCTCGGAACTCTGACACCTTGTGTGTCACAAAGGGGCTGCACAGCCCCAGGGAGGGTGGCAGGGGCCGGGGGCTGCTCAGAGCTGCTGCAGACGCTGGGCAGCCCGCGGGCAGCTGCCCGAGGCCAGTGCAGGATGGAGTTTCTGGGAACCACGCAGGTAGCCAGTTACTGTGGCACACAGAGGAAATGCCTGTTCCCGGACCTAGCTCCCACCAGCACTACCCAGGACACCTATCAGCCCTACTACCGACCGGGCTACCGTTACCTCAGCTCCTGGAAGCCCAGCCCCATCTACAGGGCGGTGTCAGTCCCTCCCGGCCCTGAGAGGCAGTGTGTTCCCGCCGGGCGGCCGCCCACGCTCCTGCCCGCCCTGCGGCCTAGCCTGCATGCCCGCTACAGCACTCGTGACTGGCACCAGGCTAACATGGGGCAGTTAAGAGGCTCTGAAGCCTCCAGGTCCAGTGCTGGTAGAATGAACACTGACTCAATGCGACTGCTGCAAGACAAGGATCAACTGACTTATCAGATGCAAGAAGACAGCAGAAGAAACCTGGGAGAGAGGATGTCCAATATTGACTTCTGGAGAGCTGAGCTCATCTATGAGCTAGAGTGTCTGCTGAAAGAGACTCAGGCCTTGGAAACGACAAAGAAGCGGCTTGAATGTGCTGTAGATGAAATGCAAGGGCCACTGAAGGTAGGTTTGACATCACCAGTTATTTCATGACTATACTGCAGAATAGGCAAAGAAAATGGCTTTATCTGTGTTGAATACTAGTATGACTTTTACTGTTGTCAGCGAGACAGTTTTTGGTGAAACATTACCCACAGTAAGAGGGAAACTTGGCCACCGTGGGCTTTATATATAACAGTCAACAAAGAAATTTATCAAGACATTTCTATGTCACCTTTTCCTCCTGGCTTTCTGCTTGAGGCTCCAGGAGGTTAACTGAGTCTCTCTCAGGCATGGGCCTCTCAGCTCAGTACATTACAGGAGAGCAGAAGATGGTCCTGCAAGCTCTCATATCCCAATATTCTTATCTAGCTCTGAATTTGCTGCTATTGCTTGGTGAAAATAACATTTTCACTTGGGATAGCATATAACTTGTGTTTCATTTTGAAGTTCTTCAGAATCTTAAAGGCAAATTAATTTCAACAAGAAAAATGACAGTTGTTGGGAAGGAGCTCCGGAGAGAAGAGAAGCACTCCAGGAGGCCGGCAGTCAAATTCATTTACTGCAAAGTTTTACAGCCTTTTACAGTCGACAAGAGACAGCCCCCCAAGCCCCACAGGTTAACGAGCCTGTTCACACGCCCAAGCTGAGTTACAGATTGGATAACAGTTATTGTCCATACGCTGCCCACGCGCTCTGCCCGCTTGGCATAGTTCACAAGGTTGTTATGGGAAAGTTTTGCCGATGTTTACAAACTTGTCCAGGCGAGCAGCCAACAGAATCCACTACCTATAAACATTTGCTATTTGATAGATACTTTTGTGAATTTTCTCAGGCTTACAAGAGTCTCACTGACTACACTGCTTTTTTCGTGCTCAGCAAAACATGCCATCCTGCTCTGCAAATCACGATTCCACACACAGTAGTGTAAGAGTCAGTGAATGATGGTAGCAAAAACTCAAACCATGCAAAAACTAGAGTCAAAGTTCTTTCATAAACATCTGGAACACCGCTGATGGAAGCTACGTCTGTCATATTTCTAGGCAGGTATAAATAGAAAAGCAAAATTCAGGCTTCAGTAATGACTTTTTAAAGTTGTCTGTGTCTGTACTGATTCAGAGTGGCAGGCTGAGGGTGTTTTCTGTTCAGAGAACACTTTCTGCCAAAAGGCTTTGTGCTACCTAACGCTGCTTCACATATTCGAATGGTTCTAAGCAAGTGTGTGAGTGGCCCCTTCAGCAAGGTTCAAGGTTTCACTCCACAGTGTGGCACTGAGGCTGTTGCAAATCTTCCTTGGTTTCCTTGCAGATAGCCCTAGAATGCTTGTACAACCGTGAGAAGCGTCAAGGTATAGACTTAGTTCATGACGATGTGGAAAAGAACCTCATAAAGGTAAGATCAGACCTCCAGTTTATATTTCAAACTGTGGAAATAACTAAAATCCAACTAAATATTTATCAGGACAAAAAGATGGCAATAATTTCTTCATTTAATTCATTAGGAAGACAGGAGGGGAAAAGAGGAAGAAATTTGGTAAAACTATATATATTGGGAATAGTTAGTGTTCTAATCATCCTTCCTGGAACAAAAGGAATAGCCTAGCATCCTTGTGAGGTCTTGTCCAGTTCTCTCTTCCTTGTTCCTATAAAACAAAGTAGAAATATTTCTCAGGATTGTTTTCTGGGCCATGGTCTGTAAAATCTTGGAAGTTCTTAGGACTTACAATACAAAATGCTTTTACTGCCTTGCTATATGTGTAGTGTTGCCGAAGAAAGAAAATTAGGTGGATAGTAGTGATTGCTAAATCTTTTAAAGAAAAAGAAAACCAAATAACATTTTGCTAACATATTTGAAAGACATTATATGGAATGCATATGAGAACAAGCACGCTAGGAGAGAACATGACGGGGCAATGCCATTGCTTCAAGCACTGTCCTGCATACAGAGGGATGTGCAGGCGATAGGTGTGACAATAAAGGACAACACAGGCTCACTTTGTAATAACAGGAAAGCTGGTTTTAACCTTGCTCTCACTCCTACACATACTGTCCAAGTACAGCAACAGAGCCTGTATCTTTAAATTTGGGGTGACTTAATAACTCCCTAATTATTAAAATCACTTTATTCCCTGTTTGAAAGCTCAGAAAACTGTACACGCTTAGGTAAGAGGGTATGCTGGGCTAAACCAGAGCTTTTTTAAAAAGGGAAGAGGCTAAAACACCACAATGTTATTTGAGAGACCATAATTACCACGTTTGCATAGGTTTCAGTGCGGTTGGTGTGAATATTTTTAAATTTATTTTAAGCCAGCTGGAACCTGGCTTTGAATTTCTTTGACTACAGTTAATACTTACAGTTTTGAAGAATATCACAATATACTTCCTTAGGGAGCCTGTCCCTAAAATCAGATCTATTTCCAACCTACTCTGCTATTAGCAAAATATTTGTTTTGTTCTAGAAAAACATAGAACTAGTTAGAGAGGGTACTTTAGTGGATTAAGGCTCATGTTTCAAGTATCTTTATTATACTTAAGCCAAGAAAAATTTTACTTTATGTTTATTGCAATGACTGTCCAATAAAATCCACTAACATGCTTGATATAAAAAGCCATACAAACTCAAGTCAAAAGATACAGCTTTGTAGCACTGAGGAAGAGAGGGACCAGACCACATCCATTCTTGACCTCCATTGCATTTGACATATGTGAGACGGTTGCAATATCTAGAATGCAGAATAAAAAGGGTAAGGTCAATAAAAGAAATTAAGTGGGATGAAAGCCCTGACACTATATATTTTCTAATGTAGGAGGTTGATGGATTCAAGGACTATCAAGAAATATTGACAAAACTTGCACAAAAAATCACTGAACAGCTGGGGTAAGACTTTACATTTCATTCCCATTTTAAAGGTAGGAAAGCTGATTTCAGCGTTAGCTGGTATCTAATGACAGGTGGAAAAATAGCAAAGGCAAAAGCAGAGACTTTGCCTGTTAGATGCTCAGTGCCCTCCACTCCTAATTCCTACCAATGATAGAATTTGTATGTTAAATCCCAAAAGAACAATGGTATTTAAAGATGACTGACTCAGTTTTTGCATGTTTAATCTGATATCCTTCACTAAAAGTAGGGACAGCAAAATTATAGCTTCATTGTGCCAGTGTTGCTGTCTCACACAGGGGTGAAGTTCAAAGGGAATGCATTTATTTATTTAATTACAAAACTAAATTCAAAGGAATTTTATTATTGACAAAAGAAACAGGAATCTAAGTACATCATAATGTATGAGATGAGTTATGGAATGGAGTTTCTTTTAAATTTGTTTTTATTTAAATGTTTATATACATTTTTACTGTGGGAGACTTCAAAATGCATTTTGTTTAATTTATTTTCTTTTACAAATAGCCTTGTAATGCAAAAATTCTTATTCTTAATTCTTATAATTTAATTAGGCAAAACTAGTCTGAATAGTGTTCTGTTAACTACACAGACTGACACAGATTTTAAAAGTCACGTTTGTATGACATGATTCTCAAAAGAAACAATTCAAGTGCTTAAAAAGAAGATAAAATTATACAGTTCTTGAATATTACATTATAAGAAAGACAGAGATTTTATAAAACAATTGCTCTTATTAAAGGCACTCAGAACCCCTGAGTGATGTTAGATGCATTCTGCAGTTTTACTACAGTATTACTACTGTATTATATTTGGCATATGATCAGATAAAAGCTGAGTTCATATTTGGTGGCATGAACTCTGTCTAGCTTGTTAGGCTGGCACTTCTGGTACCTTTGATTCTGTTCTGTCCCCACATCAGGCAAACTGATAGTAATGCCAATTGACAAGTACATCATGGAAACAGCAATATTTGCAAAAAAATGTCAGCATGTCTGCTCTCTTCCTGATGCACTAGAAAGCAAGACTTTGATTCTTTCATCCATATTACTGTCATTCTGGCCCAAGGTCTGCCAGGTCTCCCTCTCTTTTGGAAGAGCAAATGGAGATTAAGTTACTCCAAAAATTCCTTGTGGGTAAGAAAGCAGAGATGGAACAATGTATTTCCCTCCTCGTGATCAAGATTGGCAGAAATATTTACACGGATTTTCCAGTGATATACAATTTGAATTATACTAAGAGAATTTGTCCCTCAAATCAAGAGAGATGGGAAACCACAAGTTTGGTCTGCCCTTTTCTTTCTCACTTACAGCTGTGCTGCCATGAAGGTTATCACTGATACCTCCTCCCTTTTGCTCTGAGGCTTTCCATCACAGCACACAACTACCTGTCGTTTTTCACCCTTGTGGTTGTCTCTCATGAAAACGACAAACATCAGAAAATGCAGTGAGTTAAACACAACTCTTTGGGGAATGCCCACTGGAAGAGATGAATGGTACAGCAGCTCCCTCTAGCTAAATTACAGCACCAAGCATTTTGAAGCCACTGTAAATGCCAACAAACTGTAAAATTAAGCACTGTAGGAAGCTAATGAAAGCAAGTAACTATTTAGCACAGCAGCATTAATTATGGTGGCTAAGATTAAGGGACGTCTTTCCCCTTCACAGCACCAACAGAGATGCACAGCATGCCCTGGAACGGGATCTTTCTGACAAGAACTCAGCCCATTTTATTGATGAGAAATGCTATAACCTGAGGAACACATCAGACAGCATCAGCTTTTACTATGGAGTGGAAAAAGCAAACGGGACGTGAGTATGAGCAGCTGTTGTAGCCTGTTCTTTCTGTGCTCCCTGCTGGAAGCAGTAGCCTGATTACAACACGAGTCCTAGCCTTGTCTTGGAGGAGTGACCTAGGAAGAAGTAAACTCACTCTCTCCACATAGCCCAGTCCATGTGAAACCCTCCATCATCCTCATTCTCTGCCTCCTGCCATTTTTGAAGCCAGGCAGAAGCTGGCAGTCTGCAGCATCTACAGCACGGACGTGCAGCGAGCTGTGTTTTCCAGTGAGGAAGATGGTTTTTAACTGTGTTGCAGCTCACTCCTTGCCTTCAAACTCCCTTGTGCAGGTTTCTCCCTCTGGTTTTGATTTACACTGTTGCGTGGCTTTCAGGTTTCAAAACAACATCCAATCAGATCAAAATTCAGCTAAGGTATGCAGTTAAGTGTGTTGTGGTAAAAAGCATCCAAGTGTACACCAAGGACTCTATCTATATTCTGTAAGAATAGCTTGGGTTATTTGTAAATTATTCCATCGAGCTATGCAGTGATGTGTATTAAACAGAATGATCAAAAAGATTTGTAAGAGCTTTAGCATTACAGACTGAACTAAAATTACTGAACTACAATGTCCCAATTAAAAACGGTTTTAAAACTGTTTATTAGTAGTGGCCTCATCAAGACCTGCATCCAATCCAAAAGCAGAAGAGCAGCTTGCAATAGGGGGCAGTGGTTTTGTGCTAATGACTTATTTTCTTTATCACTCTTTAACATAGCAGCATTTGAATGGTGAATGTGCTTTATCTCACATGATAACGACTATGTCTTGTTGGAAGAAGAAAAATCAGTATATTTGTTTACTTATGTTCTGCTTTTCATTAAAAGATCACCTCATTCACTATTGAAATGAGGGTATATTTGAAGGAAACTTGGCAGGCACTCTGCTGACTCTAGTAACCCTGCCTACTTCTAGGATTAGCAATGAATAAAATTATTCTTGTCAGCTCTAGTAAAAAGCAGATTCATGTGGATAAGTTTTACAGCCCCTTTCTTCTCTAACCAACCATTATCCAAAGAAATGCCATTTTTCATTAACATTTTCCTGAAACCATTTGGCAGAGTGAGACCTACCCGCAGCACTCGGGACCAGAGCAGGTGTTTTCTGCCTTACCAGTGCCAGCCAGAGAAATTACAAGCTGAAAAGGCAATGTTAAAGAATGAATTAAGGACAAAGTACTTCAGATAGTCAAGATGGAAATCTACTTGGAAATTTAATTTTCTGATGAGATAATGAATATCATCAATCAGAAAATAGAGGTGGGGGGAAACCCCAAACCAAATACACTGCAGAAAGTGCACTGAGACTGTCTGGCTCAGTAGCTGTAAGCAATGCCATCTCAGCTTTAGTACACTCACTTATGCACTAGTTTACTATGATATCAGGTTGGTTACTTGAAACTTTTCAGGTAAATGTGTAGCAGTAAGGAACTCCAAATCATTTAGGAAGATCTTTACTTCAGTTGGGAGAAAGAGGAATACCCTATGAAAAACTGCAGAGAAAATAAAAAAGGCTCCTTAGGAAAGAAGCACTGACAATATTCACTTTTGCTTTTTGCATCCCTTAATATTTACTCTGAGTGTTCTACTGAAGTGTTTGGAAGGATCTGGGTCTGGGATTTATGACACTCATTATAATGAACAGTTTGCACAGTTCAGTGAATGAACACAGTGTCATTATCACTGAAAGACAATAGCTCACCTAAGCTTTTTTTTTTTTCTAATTTTCCTCTTATTTTGAACTTCTTACTAGTGTTTCAGTTCCTGCAACATGGGCTAAGTTCAGTGAAGACAACATCAGGTGCTCTCAGCATGCAAGGGCCAACTCCGTTAAGCTGCGGGAGGATGCAGAGGTTGGACTGGAGAGCACATCTGAGGAGATGTGGAATCATTTCATCAGCACCAACCTGGCCTTCAACAACCGCATCGCTGAAGTAGCAGATGCAAAGAACAAACTCCAGGCACAGCTGGCTAAGGTAAGATTCACTAAGAGTTGGCAGCTCCATTACTATTTTAGTTGTACCCAAAAGGCATAGAAATCTTTGCTAGAGTTTACATCAGTCCTGAATAATGACCTCCTCAAAAGATGTACTTGTATTACCCTTCCTCAAGCTGTGTCTGATTTACACACGGCCTGAGAAGAGCTTACTCAAAGACAGGCAGGCTGCCAAGATGACAAGGTGTTCAAAGGAACCATGCACTGTTCAGAACCACACACTGATTATGTTCATTTGCAACTTACCTTAGTATATTTTTTTTTTCTATTTTGCCCTTATTGGTGATATTGCCTTGCCATTTCCTGTTACAGAAATTGTACATTAATTACTTTTTTATTCCTTTTTTTAAAAAAAATAATATTTAAACAGTGAATTATGGAAACTGTGCAAAGAGGCCCAGAAGCAGCAGCACATTTATCTATCTGTTTTAGAGGAAGGATAAAACTTTAAGCTTTTGCACTTTCATTTTGCAGCAGCAAGGGAAGAGCCCTAAATTAACTAAAACTTAAAAGTATTTATATGCAGAATGTCATTAGTCTATCTTTGACAAGTAAGTTCCAAGTTTTCATTCCCTTTTGATAAATACATTTCCACATCTTCAACCTGAATTTTGAAGTGGCTGTGGTCATGAATAGCCTGATATTTCAAAGTGGGTCAGACTGGACTTTTCAAACATTTGTTCCACCTTTATTTTCTATGAAAAGCAGAAATGGCACAGGAGACAGACCTGCATTTATCTCTATCTGTATTGCCTTGTCAGCAAGTTGTCACTGAAACGAGCGATGCATTGGAAGTGTATTAGCTGAATTTTGAAACATACATTCTGAAGTTAACAAGAGGTTCTGCCTTTGTACAGACAGATAAAATCTTATTAAGCTAGCAGGACTCACTATGTTACTTTGATATGACTCCAGGCAGAGTTCAGTACGTTCTTTCATTGAGACCCTTTCTCTTATAGAGGAGCCTCATGCTCACTCATTTTTTTCAGTGCACATTTGGAAACAATAGAGTTTTCCTGCCATTCTATTTTCCATAAGTAGTTTAAGATGTTTCCAGTTTATTTTTAGGGACTCTTAGGAAAGTGCAAACTAACCAGCCAAATACATGTTAAGTCACAGCACATAAAATAATCTTTTCTTTGTTTCTCCCTGCTTATAAACCATGAAAGACGTTGAATGGATGTTTTTTGTGTGTTTTAGATTGTATATGATCTAGTCAACTGCTTCACTTGATCCCTGAACTGGCCACCCATCTATGTTTCTCATGGACCTAAATCTAAGAACATTTGCTTCACAATTTCCATTGACCTTTCCTAATGCTTTTAAGAACCTCTTTTATAAAAGAACTTCTAGCATGAGGTAGTACAGGGTGCACATATGGAACCACAAAGTGCATTGTGAGAGAACAGGAGAGCAGCTAGCATGATGTACCTGCTGACAACTGGTATATAATGGAAAAAACACTTTATGTCCCTAGGCTGTTACACTGTTAAATAGCAATAGTAAGCTACCTTGAGAAACTTGAGTAATTGTATTTGTATAAAGAATAATCCATTTGTAGGGTACACAAGGATAAAAAAGCTAGCAAGTAATACTGCACTCTGAACTAATGCTGGTGACTGCTGAATTACTAGTTACCATATAGAGAGCAGGAAAACTTTACTCATCACAAACTCCAGAGTAATGTAGTTATATCAGAACAATAAAATGCTAGAGGAGAAGAAAACTGCACACGTTGGTGAAGAGCATTTCAGGCTGGTCCGTGTTGTCAAAGGAAAATACAATATGTTTACCAAGCAAAACTGTTGCTGCTTCAGATGTGGGTAAGGTTATATGGTAGAAATCCTGTTAATTCTATTGCTCTTGACCATGCCTTAAAAGGACAAGAGGGAGGAGAGGGCAGAAGTGAGTAAGGAGACAGTGCTCATTTAACAGTTATCTACAGGTCAGCATAACAGAGTACCCTTTCTTGCAGTATGGTCTGTAAGAATCAGAGAAAAAAGATTTTGCTAGGATGTGCTCTAATGAGAGCCAGTGTCCATCTTGTAAATTCTGCCACACTTCTGTTCTTCCATCGAGATGTGATTATAGTCAAATGCAGATACTACAGTTCCTGTTCCCTTCCTGTCTAACAGCAATTAGATACTGGGTGCCATGATTTCAATTTCTGTGTTTAAAATAAAATTAGTCAATCTTTCAAAGGATGTTTTTGCACTGACCTGTCAGGTAATGAATGACACTCTGAGACATCCTTTTTTCTGCCAAATTATCTTCCCAGCTAAGCAGGCTCACTCTATAAAATGAGATGAAAATGAACATAGAGAAGATTTGCTACCTTGGAACCAGGAAAAGCTATTAATTTAATGAGGTCTGGAGCCCATTTTGAAATGAAAAATAGTTTTCCAATTTGTGAAACAGCAAAATCTTTTCCAGACATAAACACCTGAAAAATCTACAGGGAACCTCCTGTAACCATTTGTTTCTAAAATATGTACCCTGAAAAAAGGAAAGAATAAAAAAATGCATAAAAGGGCAAATAGTGTGTGAATATGGTGATGATCTAAAAAGGATCCTATGTTGAAATGTTACATTTTCTTCTGTTTATACCACTTATACATAAGATCAGCTTGTTAAATTACAAACCAAATGCTTAATGCCTCAGCTTGTGGTGCACTGCATACTCTTTAGAAACAGAGTACCAGGTGGAACAGTTTGTCTTACATTGTAGATTTCATCTATTGGCCCTTGAAAAATTCAGCTTTCCTTTAGAAAGTTTTTTGTAAAAACTGACTGAATTAGGCTTAAAATTTGGGATCAGTACCCTGTAACAGTGTGTGCCATAATGCAGTGATGATTAGGCTGTGTGCTATGCTTAGCATTTGTTGTATAGGTACTCAAAATGTTTCTCCTGGCCTGTTTTATTATGTTTTTTAAAAAATATTTAGTTTATATTGCCTATAGGTATAGCTTTATGACCACATGACTTGCTGTGCCAGAATGTCATTGTTTCACACTTGTTTAGGGAAATCCACTACCAAAAGAAACACGGACATTGCTGTGGTAATGATCTATTGGACCTTGCATTGCTGTACTCAGTAAAAGGCATTTCTCTTCCTGCCCGTCTTTCCCTTGCTTGGTGACAGGATTATATCACATGTGAGATTATGGGAGAAAAGTACTATTCATTTTCACTTGGAAAACAATAAGCAGGAATAAAACCACAGGAATGAAGAAGAATTAGTTCTGAATGTACCCAGGTGAGCTAAGGGGTTGCATGGTGCAGTCTGCTGTAGTGGTTATTTCTAAAGAGCAGGGATTTTCCCCTTAGTTGGCATTTGTACATGGTCACCACATATGTCCTTTCCTGGGTGCTGTTGTCTGCAGCAGCTCTTCACAGGACTGCTGTTCTGGAAAAGGCTGCTGGGGTGATACCAAGCCACACAGGATGAAAGCTTGCATATGCTGTCATTTTATAATATGTATCACCTGCCGATTTTTCACTCTAAACCTACAATCATTTGCATTTAGAGGGACCGTTTAGCAACTTACAGATGGCTTGTCTTGGGGCAGATCAGATGTATTTTTACTCTTTATTCTACTTCCAGTTTGGTCTGAATCCCAATACTGAATAGGCTCCAATTTCAGATTGAGTAACCAAGTCAGCACAAGGGAAGCCTCCGAAGAGCATTGCTTGTCAGTGATCCCTCCCACTTGCTTTTCTGCACTCTCAGTCCAGCTGCTGTTTGCTCTCACTGTTACTTCACTGATGTATTTAGGAAATTGTCCAAGTTATCTTCACTTCAGATTTTCATTCTCTGCTCTTTGGCTTTTCCTGCCTGCCACTTCTCCAGGGGAAGCTGCCTGGTGAGGCTGACAACCCCAAGTCTATCAGAAGTCTAGGAAGTGATTTATGTAGGGGAACAGTAAAAAAAGATTAAATTGCTTTTGTATAATTTTGAACAGGAAATCCTCAAATGTAGCAGGGAAATGCTGTCCCTAAAAAAGAGTTTTATATCTGTCCCTGTCCAGTTCACTGTTGAACTTCTATGTAACATTATTCCTTGCCCACACTTGCTGGATTTTCTTCCAGAGGACTAAGACAATCTGTGATCTTTACACTGGCAACGGAACTATGTGAGAGCAAGGGTGTGGTACAAAGCATTTCCTGCTGCAGGTCCAAAGCTTAAAAGTCATCACAGCTGCAGGAAAGATTCAAGCAAGGAATTCAAAGAATAAGTTCCTCAGCTTTAGCAGGCTGAAAAAGGTGACGCTAGTAGCACTAGATTACACTGCTTTATTTAGCCTACCCAAGTAACAGTTGGGGTAGGGGCAGAGAACTTTCTAAATCCACAAGTTTCTAAACAGAAGAAAAAAGAATCATAATGGAAGACTTGCTTGAGCACAAAGAACCAAAAGAAGAATCAGTGGCTGGACAAAAGCCAGACAAATCTAGATAGAAAACACAAGCACTTATTTTTTTGAGCAAAGGAATTCATCACTGCAACAGCTTACCAGAGATATATGGCTTTGTTAGCACCAGGAACTCAAAATCAAGACCCCTGTTCTCCCTGAAAGCTCTGATCTCTCTAGAGGCCCTGGCTTGCACAGAGAAATTATTACAGGACAGACTAGTAATCTGCAGGCAGTGCAGACTTAGTGCATAATCAAGACTTCTTTCTGACCCTAAGATTCAAAATGTCCCATTTTCTTTTCTGCCCCAACTGCACAAGCCTATGATTAATCTATTTTATTTGTTTCTGGGAGTAATCTTGGTGATAACAATGTGAGGTTCATCCAGAGTTGGTTACTAGAACTCTGGAAACATGGAGAAGCCCAGAAGCCCTAACTAGGTATTTGGCAAGGGTTAGATCACAAAGCAAAGAAGGTCTCACAGCTCCCACTGTTTCATCATCACTGGGCTCACAGAGCATGTGGTTGCTTAGGGATGCAAATATTCTGCAAGAGTTTAATTACAACATA